GTATGTATGTATGTATGTATGTATGTATGTATGTATGTATGTATGTATGTATGTATGTATGTATGTATGTATGTATGTATGTATGTATGTATGTATGTATGTATGTATGTATGTATGTATGTATGTATGTATGTATGTATGTATGTATGTATGTATGTATGTATGTATGTATGTATGTATGTATGTATGTATGTATGTATGTATGTATGTATGTATGTATGTATGTATGTATGTATGTATGTATGTATGTATGTATGTATGTATGTATGTATGTATGTATGTATGTATGTATGTATGTATGTATGTATGTATGTATGTATGTATGTATGTATGTATGTATGTATGTATGTATGTATGTATGTATGTATGTATGTATGTATGTATGTATGTATGTATGTATGTATGTATGTATGTATGTATGTATGTATGTATGTATGTATGTATGTATGTATGTATGTATGTATGTATGTGTGTATGTATGTATGGAGGGCTGGAGGTCCCGGGATCAAACCCTGGTAAAGGCTAGGACTGTGTCCCCTGGACTTCTAGTAATTTCTCCTGCACCGTACGCCCGTGTGTTGTTGCGCGCGAAAGTAAACACTGGAAATGGAAAAGAGAAGCCAAACTTTGGAGTTTAAAATCTACCTAAACTATTTCAGGATCTTCGCTGGTGCTATGGAGTTCGTAAATTTCGCTGAGATTCTTCAGACTCAGACTTGGGTTAGAAGAAGAACTGAGCACTGATGGGTTACATTTGTGTGCCATGATGTTGATTGGTGGAATAAACAAACGTAAGACAACATATAGAGACACACACAGACACACACAGACACACACAGACACACACAGATGCACATGCAGCCATACACTCAGACACACATGCAGACAAACAGATACACATTAAGCTACACAAACAGACACACACATACAGGTACTGACATACACACACAGACACACACACACAAATACAGGTACAGACACATACAGGTACTGACATACACACACAGACACACGCACACATACAGGTACAGACATACACACACAGACACACACACACAAATACAGGTACAGACACATACAGGCACTGACATACACACACAGACACAGACACACAGGCACACAGACACACACATTCAGATACAGACACACAGGCACTGACATATACACACAGACACACACACGCGCACACAGCTACACACCCAGACACATACACACACATACAGTCACACACACGCAGACAAACCTACATACACACACACAGACAGACACACAGACCCACACACACAGACAGGTACACAGACACACACACACACACACACACAGACAGGCACACACACAGGCACATAGACACACACCCAGAAACGCACGCGGACACCGTAAAGACTCACAGGCTGACACACGTTCACATACAGAGACGCACACACGCACACGGACACACACACGCACACAGACACACACAGAGACACACACACAGATATGCACACAGACACACACACAGACACACACACAGACACACACACAGACACACACACAGACACACACACAGACACACACAGACACACACACACTGACACACACACAGAAACGCACTCGAACACCGTACAGACTCACAGACTGACGCACGTCCACATACAGAGACACACACACACGCACACAGACACCTATGATAGGTATGTTTGCGCGTGTATGTGTCTGTGAGTGTGTCATGTGTATGTGTGATTTATATGTATGTGTAGGCGTGTTTGTATTCATATGATTGTGAGTATAAACGAGTGTGTGTTTGGATAATTGTATTAGTTTTGTGTGTGCCTGCGTATACTTCTGTGTGTGTTTATCTGTGTGTGTGTGTGTGAGAGAGAGAGAAAATTTATGTGTGTGTCTGTGCGTTTGCGTGAGAGTGTGTGTCTGTATATATGTGTGTGTTTATCTGCATGTGTATCTGTGTGTGTGTGTGTGTGTGTGTTTGTGTCTGCGAATGTATGCGTCTGTGTGTGTCTATATGTGTGTCTGAGGGTGTGTCTTTGAGTATATGTCCGAATGTGTGTGTACGTGCGTATGCCCACGTGTATGTGTCGGTTATAATTTGTCAGTGTATGTGTCTCTGTGTGTGCGTTTATGTGTGTTTATGTGTGCCTCTTTGTTGTGTTCCTCTTGTTGTGTATGTGTATGTATGTCTGCGTGCGTGCGTGTATGTGTGTGTGTGTGTGTGTTTGTGTCTGTGTGTCTGTCTGTCTGTGTCTGTGTGTATATGTCTGTGGGTGTGACTGTGTATAAGTGACTGTGAATATGTGTCTGTGTCTGCATGTGGGTCTCTATGTTTGTCTGCATGTGTATGTGTGCGTGTGTGTCTCTATGTTTGTCTGCATGTGTATGTTTGCCTGTGTGTCGCTGTGTTTGTCTGCATGTGTGATGTGTCTCTATGTGTGCCTGCGTGGGCGTCCGTGTGTATATGTCTAAGTGTGTGTGCGTATCTATAAGTGTGTCTCTGTGCGTATTGTGTGCGAGTGTGTCTAGTGTATGTATCGGTGTGTGTTAGTCAATGTGTGTCTGTGTGTGTGTGTGTTCCTCTGTGTGTTTGTGTGTGTGTTTCTCTGTGTGTTTGTGTGTGTATATGTCTGCTTGTCGGTGCTGTATGTGTGACTATGTATATGAGTATGCGTGCATTTGTCTGTGTGTTTCTCTGCGTGTGTGTTTCTTTGTGTTTGTTTAAGTGTGCGTCTCTGTGTGCGTCTCTGTGTGCGTCTCTGTGTGCGTCTCTGTGTGCGTCTCTGTGTGCGTCTCTGTGTGCGTCTCTGTGTGCGTCTCTGTGTGCGTCTCTGTGTGCGTCTCTGTGTGCGTCTCTGTGTGCGTCTCTGTGTGCGTCTCTGTGTGCGTCTCTGTGTGCGTCTCTGTGTGCGTCTCTGTGTGCGTCTCTGTGTGCGTCTCTGTGTGCGTCTCTCTGTGCGTCTCTCTGTGCGTCAGTGTGTCTTTGTCTGCTTGAGTGTCTCTGTGTGTTTGTCTGTGTGTCCGTATGCCTTTGTCTGCTTGTTTGCCTGTGTATCTTTGTCTGCGTGCTTGTCTGCATATGTAACTATGTGGCTGTATGTATGTGTCTCTGTGTGTGGGTGTCTGTATGTTTGTCTGCGTGAATGTATGTGTCTGTGTGTGTGTGTGTTAGCATGTATGTATTTATATGTGTGTGTTCATGTGCGTTAGTCTACATATTTGCCTGTGTATGTTTGTCTGCGTGTGTGTCTGTGTGTGTTTATGTGGCTGTATGTATGTGTTTGTCTGTATGTCTGCGTGAGTGTGTGAGTCTGTGTGTGAGTCGGTGTGTGTGTCTGTGGGCGTGTCTGTGGATGCATGTGTTTGTCTCCATGCATGCCTGTATGTATGTACGTATGAATATATGTATGTATATATGTATGTATGTGTGTATTATGTAGATAGGTACGTTCCTACGTACGTATGTATGTATTTGGGTGTGTGTATGTGGGTTATGAGTTATAAGCTATGTGTATGCGGGTGGGTGTATGCGGGTGGGTGTATGTGCGTTATGAGTTATACGCTATGTGTATGTGGGTGGGTGTATGTGCGTTATGAGTTATACGCTATGTGTATGTGGGTGGGTGTATGTGGGTGGGTGTATGTGGGTGGGTGTATGCGGGTGGGTGTATGTGGGTGGGTGTATGTGGGTGGGTGTATGTGGGTGGGTGTATGTGGGTGGGTGTATGTGGGTGGGTGTATGTGGGTTATGAGTTGTGAGCAATGCCTTATGAGCTAGATTATCTTCACAGCACTCCGGACACATCCATAGGTGCCCAGATTCCCCTTCTCAACATATTCATCAGCGTCGCGCGGTCAGTAGTGCCAGTCCTATGTTGGTTAACAAGACTCCGTGTGCGTCCGGTGGGCTTCTCATGCTTGGCTGTGCCGATCTTCACTCCCAGTTCTCTTATTTTTAGTAGTGATGTAGACGCGTTGCTTCCGAAATCCTCAGAATGTCCTATCTTTCTAAGGGCAATGACAATGTCTGCGTGATCCATGGGTCGACCATCTTCAATGAATGAAGCATCTGTCAGTATATCAGCTCTTTCATTACCAACAACGCCTGCATACTCTGGGACGAATATGAAGGTTACTGCACACACAGGAGAGTTTTGCAATGACTAAATCAACTGTCTGCGTAACCAGCCTGCCTCGACCCGCCGGATCATGCTCAAAGAATCACTCAGCACACAAACGGGAATATTCCTGTGATTTTAGCCACATGAAAGCTTGTTTCACCGCCATCACTTCTATCGTCATGCTGCTGGTGGTCATGGAAAAGCCACCACTGGCTTCTTGAACTGTTCTGCCTGAAGAGTGAGCTGTAAATGCCCGTGCACTCTTATGTCCTAGTATAACGGACCCGTCTGTGAAGATCACCACATCTGTCTCATCTGATTTGTCATTGATAAGAGCGCACACTTTGGCATTGACAGCAGCTGGATTCTGCTTCCGACAACTCCTTTCGAGCGTCACAACATAGGAGAATTTGAGATTGGGTGCTTTAGTTGCTGGTATCGACTCCTCACCTGGATGATGTCTGTAAGGCTGCAGATCTGCATGATGTCATCCTCTGCCCTACCCAGCCATGATTGGCCCCGTTTTTGCATGCATTTTTTAACACACGCTTTTGTGTTCTTTTTGTGATATTTATGATATGCAAATCATCATATGATCATAACATACTTCATTGGTAAAATACAACTGCTGTGCGAAAGATGGGTGATTGAAAGAGCAGAATTTAAGACGGGCCTGCGTGCAAAATTTGTGACCCTTTGAAAATAAAGCTTAGTTTGTTCATATACATGTCACACATACACGCCTACATACATACATAACATACACAGCTTATTTAATTATAAATATAATGCAACAGGATTGTGAGAATACAAACATAGACACGGTCACCAAATGTTGAACTTTCTATGCATACATAACTTTAATTTTACCTGACATTTTTTCCCTTCAGGATAATGGATAACGATAGTGGTGAAACAAATATCACAGCTCATCATCCTGACATATCTGACGTCTACAGCAACCACCTGCCTTCCATCCTCATCAACAGATTGTTCACACTGATATTCTACATCATCGGACTGCCGGCCAATCCTGTGTGCGCTTACATCTGGCTGCAACAAAAGACTCGCGCCAACAATTCGTCGGCCATCTACCTGGGCGCCTTGTCCATCTCCCATGTGGTGTTTCTGGCCTTGCACATCCTGCAGGAACTACGCTACGCCTGGGGAATTAGCATCTACGACGGTTATGTCTCCTGTGAGATATTCAATATGTTATTTTGTATCCCACAATACTTAGCGCCACTTCTAGTTTTGGGTTTTACAGTGGAACGTTACATTGCCGTCTGCCATCCTTTCGCCAAGGAGAGGTTCTGCACCGTGCGGCGGGCAGTCCTTGTTGTCATATGTCTCCTGGCCGTCTGCATCATCATCAGCACCTTGCAGGCCTACTTTTGGACGTACGATGAGGTGAAGAAAATATGCAACCACCGACAGGAGCTGCAGGCGTCTCCATTCATCGAGATCTGGACATGGTCGACAGAGTTGCTTCTGTTTGGGGTTGCTCCGCTGGCTGCTCTCGTCTTCAACATCCTGGTGATTCGTGAGATCCGCAGCTTGACCACAAGTGGCCCTGCCCACCTGGGGGTGTCAGTAGGCAGCCAGACGTCCACTGTCACTCTCCTGAGCGTATCTTTTTACCTGATATGTACTTGGCTCCCCTACACTATAGTTTACTCCATGTACAATCAGTTCCCTATTGGTCCCTTTCCCATCCAACCAGAAGCTGTTCAGGCTGACCCAACATGGCGTAGACATTTGATGTATATTCTGGTCAGGAATTTCCTCACAGAGATCACATTATCTAACTCCGCCTGCTACTTCTTCATTTACTATGCAACCGGCAAATACTTCAGACAGCGGGTGCATGAGCTCCTGTGTCCAGCCTCCTGGCTGCAGACAAAGGACAGTAGCCATCCCAAGAAATCCTACCTGGCCATCTCTAGCACGGCTTTCATCAAGGGAAAGCCGGCCGCCTGTGTGTGATACATCCAGCATCAGTTTCCGCGGGCACTTGGATGTGGCACAGACAGCATCAGTCTTCCAGGTGGCCCTGTCAGTTGTAGACAAAGATGTTCACAATCACAATTGGTTTGTACTCACCTGTTTATAGTGACCCTGAGTCAGAGGCTACCACTTGAGGACAACTACCTGCTGGCTTTGTTATCATTATCAAGTTATTGAACTGCACAGCTAAAACGGTCACCCACATAATTGACACTGTCCTTGTCCAGTAAAAACCTTACAAAATGCCCATCACTGTCTCCAATGTCCAGGGTGACCTTATTAATTTGTGCACACTGTATATAAACGCATAGAATGATAAAACGAAGACAAAAAGGTGTATTATCTTCCTGTGACCGTTGTATGTGCACTCGCAGCATGTAACCAACTCACCGACACCCACGAAGATCAATTCCAATTTGGCTTGCTGGCCATACATTCACGTACGCAATCTGTTTTGTTTTTGTTTTTCAAAAGCCTAGTACAACCAAATTGTTAAAGTAATCGTGCTGACTGACATTCTAGGTGACGGGAGACTGTTCGTTGAATGTGTTCCACAATCAGCTAGCCGACTGTGGGTTGTTTCATCACTGACAAACACCAATACATCAAGGAGAAGGCTGCAGATTTAATGATGACACAACCAGATACCTGCGTCGTTTTGCTAAGGGTTTCTGTTATGCTCTGGGAAGGCTTCTACAGACACGATAGGACCCCACTCTAGATCAACCAAAGCAACTTGACTGGCCCAAGATACCAGAACGAAATCTTGAGATCAATTGTTGAGCCTACCCCAGAGGCCGTAGGTGTTAATTCTGTCCTCCAAGATGAACATGCTGGACGCCATCGAGCACATGTGGGGAAAGACTTGATTCAGCAACAAGTTCACCTCAGGGTGGCTTGACCAGCTCATTCAGCTGATCTTTCGTCGATTGAGAACCTCTGGGTGGCTGGCCAGCTCATTCAGCTGATCTTTCGCCGATTGAGAACCTCTGGAAGGTCCTTGGTCGAAGACTGTCAACAAATCACTCCCTGCCATTGGATGTTGCACAGCTGACTGCATATTTGAGTCAGAAATAGCTACATTTTTTCAGGATATTCTTCCGACTCACTGGGACTCAATGTATCCATGCTGTCTTGAAAACGTGGTTGTTCGCGATTTTTAAATGTCTACTTGTCAGATATCTGAAAAATTAAGTTGCATACTTAACTGCTTCGTTGTCTTTGAAAGTGTTTCCATTTCTGCACGTGACATGATATTCAACAAATGCCGTTTAACTGATGTTACCTACAAAGGTTTTTTCCAAGTGATCGATTTGACGAACAGTTTATACAAAACACTGCCGACTATGGAAAGAGCCTCAAGAACAAGTTGAATATGTTCGGAATGTTGAGTTGTTAGGGAAACGGTCGTCTAGATATACCAGTGATCTGTGTCACTGTTCACCGCCCAGTGGCAATGGCAGACCGACATGTCTTCTTAGTCATTGTTGGTTCCCAAAGTAAACAAACTGGCACTACATTCCCCCCTCCCCCGACCCAACACTTGGTTTGTTTCACTCATGTATGTGTTTGTTTATCTAGTTTCGTAGTGTAGGAAATAGTTATTGCTAAATATGAAATATCCAGTTTGTTAATGTGTGAGTTGCGAAGATTTGACATCTAGCCAGTAAGTTTGTGAGTGAGTCAGTGAGTTATTGAGATTTGACTTCAAGTTAGTAAATTTGTGAGTGAGTCAGTTAGATCTGACTTAATTATAATGAAGATTTTGTACGACGTGATTAAACTATGGAGGGATCCTTGTACGATGTGATTGAACTATGGAGGGATCCTTGTACGGTGTGATTAAACTATGGAGGGATCCTTGTACGATGTGATTAAACTATGGAGGGATCCTTGTACGGTGTGATTAAACTATAGAGGGATCCTTGTACGATGTGATTAAACTATAGAGGGATCCTTGTACGACGTGATTATACTATAGAGGGATCCTTGTACGGTGTGATTAAACTATAGAGGGATCCTTGTACGGTGTGATTAAACTATGGAGGGATCCTTGTACGATGTGATTAAACTATAGAGGGATCCTTGTACGACGTGATTAAACTATGGAGGGATCCTTGTACGACGTGATTAAACTATGGAGGGATCCTTGTACGATGTGATTGAACCATGGAGGGATCCTTGTACGACGTGATTATACTATGGAGGGATCCTTGTACTGTGTGATTAAACTATGGAGGGATCCTTGTACGGTGTGATTAAACTATGGAGGGATCCTTGTACGGTGTGATTAAACTATAGAGGGATCCTTGTACGGTGTGATTAAACTATAGAGGGATCCTTGTACGATGTGATTGAACTATGGAGGGATCCTTGTACGGTGTGATTAAACTATGGAGGTATCCTTGTACGGTGTGATTAAACTATAGAGGGATCCTTGTACGGTGTGATTAAACTATAGAGGGATCCTTGTACGATGTAATTAAACTATGGAGGGATCCTTGTACGGTGTGATTAAACTATGGAGGGATCCTTGTACGGTGTGATTAAACTATAGAGGGATCCTTGTACGACGTGATTAAACTATAGAGGGATCCTTGTACGATGTGATTGAACTATGGAGGGATCCTTGTACGGTGTGATTAAACTATGGAGGTATCCTTGTACGGTGTGATTAAACTATAGAGGGATCCTTGTACGGTGTGATTAAACTATAGAGGGATCCTTGTACGACGTGATTAAATTATGGAGGGATCCTTGTACGACGTGATTAAACTATGGAGGGATCCTTGTACGGTGTGATTAAACTGTGGAGGGATCCTTGTGCGACGTTATTAAACTATAGAGGGATCCTTGTACAACGTGATTAAACTATGGAGGGATCTTTGTACGGTGTGATTAAACTATCGAGGGATCCTTGTATGGTGTGATTAAACTATGGAGGGATCCTTGTACGGTGTGATTAAACTATAGAGGGATCCTTGTACGACGTGATTAAACTATAGAGGGATCCTTGTAAGACGTGATTTAATTATGGAGGGATTCTTGTACGACGTGATTAAACTATGGAGGGATTCTTGTACGACGTGATTAAACTATAGAGGGATTCTTGTACGGTGTGATTAAACTATGGAGGGATCCTTGTACGGTGTTAATAAACTATAGAGGGATCCTTGTACGACGTGATTAAACTATAGAGGGATCCTTGTACGACGTGATTAAACTATGGAGGGATCCTTGTACGACGTGATTAAACTATGGAGGGATCCTTGTACGATGTGATTGAACCATGGAGGGATCCTTGTACGACGTGATTATACTATGGAGGGATCCTTGTACTGTGTGATTAAACTATGGAGGGATCCTTGTACGGTGTGATTAAACTATGGAGTGATCCTTGTACGGTGTGATTAAACTATGGAGGGATCCTTGTACTGTGTGATTAAACTATGGAGGGATCCTTGTACGGTGTGATTAAACTATAGAGGTTTCCTTGTACGACGTGATTAAACGAACACCGTAGATCTGGCGACGATCCCCAAGGATCTCAGTAAAAACAGCTGGCGACGATCCCCAAGGATCTCAGTAAAAACAGCACTGATGAAACTGGACGGCGAGCCCTGAAATGAAGCCAGGCAAACCGCTTGACCATTTAATCAACTTTCATGAGAATCAACCAAGCATCAACCTGCCCCCCCCCCCCCCCCCCCCCCATCTCCCCCCTACTTCCAGATACTTTGCTCTAACTGTAGAATCCGACTACTCTTCGAACAGTTCTGCGGGTTTTCTTCTGCCTTGGCAGCATCAAAGGTGACTGGTGCCATCAATAATGGAAAGTGAAGTCAAAAGATGAGAAATCACGAAATCTGTCTTATAATGTTTGTGACAACAATTCTACCTGAGCGTCATCCTTAGCAAAGCTAAGTACAGATTCAATACTGGCAATGTTTGACAGTTCATTGACACGGGGAAAGGAACTACAGTTGCATTTGACAACTCTGACTTCCATAAGCTATATTTTTGTTGTGAAGCACGTGTTTCATCATACAATCGAGTGATGCGTTTGTATTACCTAGTAATTTCAAATGATGGTCTTTCACTTGTGCAGGAATACCTACAGCAAACGCCTGGTCATGTAGCCAACTTTCCTGTTTGATTCCATCTGAGTTTTGACCTTTCATCTTCTGCTGACAAAGGTTCAGGAAAACATGATTGTGACATTGTGGTTACCCGGGTAAGGCAGAAGGTCGCTTTTGAGAGCGTTTGGATTTGTCCTTCAGTTATACAAGATTCAAGTATCTACTTCATTTATGTAATTGTTACTGTAGTAGGCACCTCACGAGGTACGGCGAAATATACCTGGCAATAAATTTTGAAATCTATTTTTATGTGTCTTATTTGTTCAAATTTACAACGGGGACACATTGCTTTGAATAACATAAATAATAAAATAACACCTGAAAGTAAACAACTACAACACTGAGAACAGTAAGGAAACATTCGTCAGATAAGCAGCTGTGTGGCTGTCTACACACGTGTGGCTGTCTACACACGTGTGGCTGTCTACACACGTGTGGCTGTCTACACACGTGTGGCTGTCTACACACGTGTGGCTGTCTACACACGTGTGGCTGTCTACACACGTGTGGCTGTCTACACACGTGTGGCTGTCTACACACGTGTGGCTGTCTACACACGTGTGGCTGTCTACACACACATGTAGCTGTCTACACACGTGTGGCTGTCTACACACGTATGGCTGTCTACACACGTGTGGCTGTCTACACACGTGTGGCTGTCTACACACGTGTGGCTGTCTACACACGTATGGCTGTCTACACACATGTGGCTGTCTACATACGTGTGGCTGTCTGCACACGTGAAGCTGTCTACACACGTGTGGCTGTCTACATACGTGTGGCTGTCTACATAAGTGTGGCTGTCTACATACGTGTGGCTGTCTACACACGTGTGGCTGT